GCTAAGCTATCTATCTCTAGCGGGGTGAGCAGCCGCTAAGCTATCTATCTGAGCAGCGTGAGCAGCCGCTAAGCTATCTATCTCTAGCGGGGTGAGCAGCCGCTAAGCTATCTATCTGAGCAGCGTGAGCAGCCGCTAAGCTATCTATCTCTAGCGGGGTGAGCAGCCGTTAAGCTATCTATCTCTAGCGGGGTGAGCAGCCGTTAAGCTATCTGAGCAGGGTGAGCAGCCGGCCTGTACCATGAGAACCCCGAAGGACCACCAGTCTGCGCTTTGCGTGTGGCCCCTCCTGTTCACCACTTCAGGGGCCATGTACTCGATGGTTCCACAGAAGGAGTAGGCCCGCTTGTCGTGGTCGATTGCCTCTTTGCTCAGGCCAAAATCTGAAAGGGAGGAGGCACACGGTGAGAGGGGACCCCCACCCCCATGGCAGATGGGGGCAGATCTTCTTAGACTCACCGGTTATTTTGATGTGGCCTTCCTCGTCCAGGAGGATGCTGTGAAGGACACAATGGAATCAGATGGCATGTGTGTAATTAGGACAGTCAGGCCATAACCCTGTACTGGCTGACTGACTGCTAGGTGGATGGATGAGAATAAACTATGGTGTTCTTTTTTCACTCCTCAACTGGCTCATGGGAATTTTCATCTGAAAATCTGGGGGGTGGGACATCTCACCAAAATCTTTCACCTGGGGGGCATTTCATGAACATCCTTCATCTGAGGGGGGGGACTATCTCACCCCCATCCTTCATTGGGGGGGGGGGCTATCTTGCCCACACCCTTCATCTGTAGGGGCTCTCTCGCCTATATCCTTCATCGGGGGAGGGTTGATCTCGCCCACATCCTTTATATGGGGGGGGCTACCTCACCCACATCCATCTCATCCAGATCACAGCAATGGCCTTTACCTCAATTTAATTTACAAATGGTAATACTCTTCCATGAACACTCATAGGGGCATCAAACCAAAAGGGCAGTCCTGGGCCAGGGTAGCAGAAAGTGTGTGGTGGTTGGGGCTCACTTCTCCGGCTTGAGGTCCCGGTAGATGATGCCCAAGCTGTGGAGGTGGTCCAGCGCTAGGGCCAGCTCAGCCAGGTAGAACTTCACGTCCTCCTCCGTGAACATTACCTAGCAAGGGACAGAACAGCTGATGTATCATTATGATGTGACAAGGAAGAGCTTTAAATTCAGGTCAGCTCATGTTGGGCAAGATCTAGGGAGCTCCTCCAAAGAGGATGTAGACTGAATCCACCTCAGCAGATCAGTGAAGAATGGCTGTGGGCTGTTCCAGTGGCTTTCCGGAGAGGTGCTGTACAGAAACACCTGGAACACTGTGCTTTCGGGAATCACAGCTGCTCTGCGTGTCACGTGGGTTTAACACGCGGTGCATTAAGATGAGTGGATTTATGGCGTGAGTAACGATTCATTATCCTGGGAGAAGCAGCATGCAATCTCAGCAGCAGTGCAGGTCTCTCCAGCATGGCACCCCGGCAAACGGTAATGGCCATCGCACACAGGTTCTCCGAGGCCTCAGACATTCCTTAACATCCTCACGATAGTCTAGCAAGTTGTTCTAAATATTCATATTATTCACGGCCTAGCATGTGCAACGTGGCCTCCTAGGATGGAGAGAAGGTATTATCGAGCACAGAGATGGGAAATAATGGTCAAGTAAGATAAATAAGAATACAATGCTAAATGCTAATGGACTAATCCATTCTTAGGGCATAGCGTAAATCCCTGAAGTCATCCATTTTACTGTCTTGCATAATTAATTCATAAACATAGTATAAATTCATTACATATAACAGTACAATGGATGGCTAGTTTCAGTAACTTTGTAAATGACTCGCTGTATTATGGGGGTAACCTAGAGCAGGCTGAACTATGAGGTGACAAGTGCATCATGGCGTAGGTGACTAGATTAGTACAAGGAGATGCAAGCATTGTCATCTGTGACGCGGGATTCACTATTGAAGATGCAGGCATCGGCAGCAGAGACACAGGCATCGCAAAGTGGAGACACGGACATTCCAGCGGAGACAAGGACATCGCCATCGGAAACACGGGCACTGCTATTGGAGATGAGGACATCGCCATCAGAGATGATCACCATTGGAGACATGGCCATTGCCATAGGAGATGAGGACATCGCCATCAGAGATGATCGCCATTGGAGACACTGGCATTGCCATCAGAGATGGGGATATCGCCATTGGAGACATGGGTATTGCCATAGGAGATGAGGACATCGTCATCGGAGATGGGGATATCGCCATTGGAGACATGGGTATTGCCATAGGAGATGAGGACATCGCCATCAGAGATGATCACCATTGGAGACATGGGCATTGCCATAGGAGATGAGGACATCGCCATCAGAGATGNATTGCCATAGGAGATGAGGACATCGCCATCAGAGATGATCACCATTGGAGACATGGGCATTGCCATAGGAGATGAGGACATCGCCATCAGAGATGATCACCATTGGAGACACTGGCATTGCCATCAGAGATGAGGACATTGCCATCAAGGACACGGCATTGCCATCGGAGACACGGGCATTGCCATAGGAGATGATGACATTGCCATCGGAGACACGGGCATTGCCATCGGAGATGATGACATCGCCATCGGAGACACGGGCATTGCCATCGGAGATGAGGACTTTGGCAACGGAGACACGGACATTGCCATTGGAGATGATGACATTGCCATCGGAGACACGGGCATTGCCATCGGAGATGATGACATTGCCATCGGAGACACGGGCATTGCCATCGGAGACACGGG